CAGTCAATCCTCTTAACAACTTAATTTATTACACAGAGGCATATGCCATTGTTTGTGTTTCAAAGTTGAGGAGATAGAGACTTAGGGAGACTCCAGAACTTGCCCAAAGTAACATATGGAGCCCGGATGTTGGCTATACTTCAGTTCTGAAACCTCTATTTCACACCCATGTTTATCAGTCTAGCAGTTGAGACATTTTGAGTGACTATATAAAGCAGAACAAAGTCTAGAGACCGAAGAGACCCACAACCCAGCCCACACTCAATGTCATATTTAAAAAATATGTAGTCACAAAAAAATAGTAGAGACAATAGGAATATTTCAATGGGAGACCCAAAGCTCCCAATTCCAGATAATTCTGTGATGGAACAACCACCTCACCTAATTCACATGTTTTCACCTTAACACATTCATGGTTATTTCAGGTAGAAAGAAAAGCGGTGGTAATTTTTATTTTGTCTCAGCTCAAAATCGATCTGAATATCTTGTGGTAAAAGAAGGATAGATTGAATGTTAGATTGATTTTGTGTTACCCAATAATGAAACACATAAATATAAACTCTGCCAACAGTTAACCCAGAAAGGCCAAATGCTAAAATCTTCCTCAAAGAAGAAGTTACATGGACAGCAAAGATGTAGGGACTGAGAAACAAGGATATAAGAGAAATTCACTGTGTTTGAGTGCTGTTGTGCAAAGCCCTCCATATTAATCCGTGTTCAGCTGAAGAAGAATATAAAAGGTACTCTTCATATTAGGCTGGTATCATTGGGAAACCTAAAAGCTGATGGGGAGGGGGAATGGGTTTGTCCTAGCTGCTCAGTCTCTGTGGAGCTTAGCTTGGAAAGTAGTTGAAAAGGGATGAGTGACTCCGAGGGCTCACTCCATCTCCCAGACTTTTAAAGGAGCATTACATTTGACATTGGCTGCTCTAAAAATGGCACTTACAGTGGATGCCTGACAAATAACAGTTGCACAATAAGTATAGACTTCCATTAGAATGTCCTGGAGAACTCTGCTGAAGATGGTACTGAGGCAGCCTCAGAGATCAGTGGCAATGGATGGTGCAACTGCCTTGATGTGGAATAAAGGAGGACCAGCCTGGAGACTAAGACTCTGCCACACCAGGATTTCCTTCTTCTTTAGCATCATGGGAGGATCACTTTAAATCGCAGACTTGTGTCTTCCAAACCCGGTTATGGACATGGCAAAGAGAAAAAGGAGCAGAAAGGGAATAGTTGAGGAAGAGAAAAACAATTAGAAAAATCAGGAGGGAAAAGTGTTAACAGAGGAAAGAAATAAAACGGCTTAGACTGCCAACTTCTGCCCTAGTTTTTTAACGCAAATATGCAGGATTTCACATGGGCCTTCTGTTTTTACCCACAAGATGAAAAGGAATCAAGGAACCACTATGTTCTTATTTTTGTGGTCAGGACACAAATAATCCTGATGGGAAGAACAGTCTCTGAGGAGAAGGAGCTGACAAAGCAGCTCTCAAAACATCAGGTTAGGAATCAACTGTTAGAAAAGAAAATACTGTCACTTTGTCAACTGATACCTCCTAGAGTTTCCAGAACTAAATTTATTCCAGAGTCCATAAAAATCATAGTTCTCTGATCCATTTAGCAACTATTTGTCAGCTTCCAGACTGGTTTCCTAGATTTCTGCTAAAAATAAGAAAGGGAGTGGTGCCGGCAAATGCAGCCAGATTTTCCTGCCCATTTCAGACCGCAGGTGAAATGCAGAAGTGGGAAACACCAGGACCGGTTCCAAGCCCACACAGAACTGAACCTAAGACATGAATCATGGTTTGGCCCTGCTTGAGATGGTATCAGAAGGTTGCACGTGTTCAAACTGAGAAAGAAAGCAGACATGGGACTTCCCTCTTGCCTCTTTTTGGAGGAAGTGAAATCACTCTTCTGCAACACAGATGCATACCTTTTGTAGAAAAATTGCCTTTCTTTTAGAAACCAAGTTCAATTTTTAGACACAGGCCCTTGAGTGCGGCCATCTGGAGAGTTTTTGCGATTGCATATGCATTTCAGTACAGGAAAACTAGGGGAAATTGCTGGTGAGCAGAGTAAAGCAAGAAAGGAGTGGGTGAAAAACTCTGGTCAAACTCCTGCAGGCATCTGCCTCGCACCTGACCATTATGAGCACCACAGCGGCATGCAAATCTAAGCTGAGCTGACATTCCCACCATTTGCACTTCTCCTTTCATTGTTTCCCCGTGAACTGAAAAGGAACTTCCTTGAGCACAGAAATCACAGAGTCACAGGCTTTGGATCATTTCACATATATGGAAACTCCAGAAATAATTTCTTTCTTTGTTTTTAAATGTATATTTGTTGATTATTTTCCTGAGTACAAAAATGATGATTACCTAGTACCCATCCCTGAGTTTGGTACTTACTACCTTCTCAATAAAAAGTTGTCACATGAGTAAAGACATTCTCACTGCATAAAACTCAAAAAATACAGAAAAGTAAGAGGAAAAATTTTAAATAATCCATAAAACCTTCCAACCAGATATAATTATTGCCAATGGGTTGGTGTATATCCTCTAGTTATAAATATTTGTATATAGTGGAGGTTATACTGAATATCTATGATGATTTTTTCACATAACATTATGGCATAAAAATTTCTTGTGTTATTAAAATTGAAAATTATGATGCCATAAAATGTTTTGTCATGTGGATGCAATATAATTTCACTCTTATTGGCTCTTTTAGCTATTTTCAATTTTTTCCTATGGTAAAAATGAAGAGTAAAGCTCTCCAAAATACGACAGTGACTGGGTGTTTCAAGATACAGGAACCCCTCGGAATTATCTGTATTCACCTTGCTTGTATTCTCCTTGCAGAAGAGTGAGGTCTCAACAGGATCTATTAAAAGGAACACAAAGAGTAAGAAATTGTCAGCATGTCTCCAAAGCAGTGTGAGTGAGAGAGTTTTCTGATTCTGCTGAATTAGCCCTGAAACAGATTGAAGGGAAGTCTGTGGATATTTCAACAGACGTATTGGAAGCACTCGAGGGCATTCAACTCTAATTTTTCTAATTCTAGGATCACTCTACTGACTGATAAATTTATAACTAGATGATTTATAAATTACCCAGGACATCCTGTGCAAAAGCTTGCCTCTCAGTCAAGTATCAACTGAACACTCGTTCATAAATTAATCCCTCTTGAATGTAAGTGAATTCCCTGAAGCATGATAATGGAGGCATGAACAGGTCCAGAATGTGGTATTTCTGGGTTTACAGAACACCACTGAAGTTTTAATAATAACTAGTGAAGCTCAGCCTGTGAAGCTACGCAACTGGCCTCATTATTTCTGAAAACACTTGTCAGCTGCATCTGTGACAATCTGAGGTAATTCAATTCCTTGATGGATAAGGGTGATAGTTAGTGATAGTTGTGAATTGAAACATAACTTTTTCAGTCTCAGCACTGCACCTAGTTCATGGTATGATTTGGGGAGCCATGAGGGTACAACCGGGAGCTTCATTAACTCCTCTGGATTCCCTGGTTACCAACAAGTGTATTAAGATGCACCCTAGTTGTCCCAAAGAATTGAGAGAGCTGGGCTTCAATTAATTCTGGTACTAGACCAATGGGCTTGGAAGCACTGTTCTAAATTATGGACTCTAAGAGACGTAGCATCAGCACACTAATGGAAATGCCTTAAAGTATGTTCTCCTGATGATATAACAAATGAATAGTTGCTTTTGTTAAAAAAAAAGAATTGAGTAATGCAGGGCTACATTCTTTTTTTTTTTTTTTTTTGAGGAAGATTAGCCCTGAGCTAACATCTGTGCCCATCTTGCTCTATTTTATATGTGGGATGCCCACCACAAAGTGGCTTGATAAGTGGTATGTAGGTGTGTGCCCATGATCCAAACCAGAGAATCCTGGGCCACTAAAGCAGAGTGTGGGAATTTAACCACTAGGCCACTGGGCCACCCAGAGCCAAATTATTTTTTATGCACTTATATTGATTATGTGCACTAAACAATGGAATGAAAAATGAAAGGTAGAACAGCAGGTACCAACTTATTGCCAACTACACACACACACACATACAGAGGATGTATATATACATACACGTACACCTTGGCTACTGTCTGCTTTTGATAAATCAAAATCCAGATTATAGTGTGGATGTGATCTTTTCCTAAACATTTTTATCTGAAAGGAAATGACACAGTGTGGGGGTCTCTTGCTTTCACTCTGCACGCCAAGGACAGTGCAGACTGAGGTTCCCAGCGTATAGCCAATGGAATCCTCTTCAGACCCGTTCAGTTCTGCCCCAGATAATGGCATCTTAAATGTCAGGACTATTAGGGCTTATAACAATAAAACTCCACAGGACTTGTGTCCAAGATTTTCACTTCTTTCTTCTGCATGAACAACATTCACCCTCAGGTGAATGGGAAACCGAGGCCTTGGCCTTGACCTACAGCTAGCCAAAGTATGGCCAAGGCAGGGTGTCCTAGCAAGGGTGATGTTGCCATTCACCTCTGCATTTATGGTAAAAGGAAACTGGTATTGGAGTCCCAGGAGAGAACAGTCAGGAAAAATTTGAAACATCAAGAGAGCAAACAAAAAAGCAAAATCAAAACTTTCTTTCAAAGTTGGAAAGCTACCTGGGAGGAAGCAGTAAGGTATGTGTTTGCACTTCTGAGTGCCCACACTGCTGCAGCCCGGGGCTGTGGGGAGGTGGGGTTCAGGCAGGGTAGCTAACTGTTGAGGATATAGGGCTGTGTTTGCAAATCTATCACAACATATTATTTCAAAGTCCTAACAGACCTTAGTATTCCAATCAACTCTCATTTCCCCATTTTGCAATTAGGTTAGCCTAAAGAGGAACTGGTGGCTTTAAGAGAACTGTTGAACTTTTTTGTTTCAGCAACTGCTTTCTTTCGTTTTGGTTCAGTTTGCACCAAGCTCACTGGCCCACTGCTTAGGGCTGGCGTGGAGCTGGGGCTGCCTGAGCCATGAACAGCGTCAGGGGTGCCATCCTCTTCTGGGCAGCGGCAGCATGGGCTAAAATGGAGCAGCCTCTGGAAAAGAGAGATGAGGCTGGATTTCAAAACTGCAAGGATGCCTTAAAACTACCTGTTCTGGAAGTCTTACCTGGAGGGGGCTGGGATAATCTGCGGAATGTGGACATGGGACGGGTGATGGACTTGACGTATACCAACTGCAGGACCACAGAGGACGGACAGTACATCATCCCCGATGAAATATTCACCATTCCCCAGAAACAGAGCAACCTGGAGATGAACTCAGAAATCCTGGATTCCTGGGTGAATTACCAGAGCAGCACCTCCTACTCCATCAACCTGGAACTCTCCCTTTTTTCCAAAGTCAATGGCAAGTTCTCCTCTGAATTCCAGAGGATGAAGACCCTTCAGGTGAAGGACCATGCTATAACTACCCGGGTTCAGGTAAGAAACCTGCTATACACAGTTAAAATCAACCCAGCTTCAGAACTAAGCAGGGTGTTTAAGAAGGAGCTCATAGACATCTGTGACCGTCTGGAGAACAACCAGACACGGATGGCCACCTATTTGGCAGAACTCCTGGTTCTCAATTATGGCACCCATGTCATCATCAGTGTGGACGCTGGGGCTGCTCTCATTCAGGAGGACCACATCAGAACCTCCTTGCTGCAGGATAGCCAGAGCAGCCATAGTGCAATAACTGCATCTGCTGGAGTTGCCTTCCTAAACATTGTGAGCTCCAAATTTGAGGAGAATTACACGTCACAGAATACCTTCACCAAGAGCTACATCTCAAACCGAACCAACTCCAGAGTGCAAAGCATTGGAGGGGTTCCTTTTTACCCAGGCATCACCCTCCAGGCCTGGCAACAGGGCATCACCAACCACCTGGTGGCCGTAGACCGTGCTGGACTGCCTCTATATTTCTTCATCAACCCCGACACGCTGCCTGATTTGCCGGGGCCCTTGGTGAAGAAGTTGTCTAAGACGGTGGAAGCTGCTGTGAGACGTTATTACATGTTCAACACCTACCCTGGATGCACAGATCTCGATTCACCCAACTTCAATTTTCAGGCCAACACTGACGATGGCTCTTGCGAGGGGAAAATGACCAATTTCTCCTTTGGTGGAGTTTATCAGGAATGCACCCAGTTCTCAGGAAATGATGTTGTCCAACTCTGCCAAAACTTGGAGGAGAAGAACCCACTCACTGGCGACTTCTCCTGCCCTTCTGGCTACTCCCCAATCCACCTGCTGTCCCAGATCCATGAGGAGGGTTACAACCACCTGGAGTGCCAACGGAAGTGCACCCTCCTCATCTTCTGCAAGACGGTGTGTGAAGATGTGTTCCGGGTGGCAAAGGCCGAATTTAGGGCTTTTTGGTGTGCGGCCACTGGCCAAGTACCAGAAAACTCAGGACTACTTTTCGGGGGCCTCTTCAGTGGTAAGAGCATAAACCCTTTGACAAATGCACAGTCATGCCCAGCTGGCTATATTCCATTGAGACTTTTTGAAAACCTCAAGGTATGTGCCTCTCAGGACTTTGAGTCGGGATATAGGTTTTCGGTCCCCTTTGGTGGGTTCTTTAGCTGTGCAGTCGGGAACCCCTTGATGGATTCTGCCATATCCAGAGATATAGGGGCACCTTCTCTAAAAAAGTGTCCCGGGGGCTTCAGCCAACACCTAGCCGTCATCAGTGATGGGTGCCAAGTGTCCTACTGTGTCAAGGCTGGGCTTTTTACAGGAGGGTCACTGCCCCCCGTCAGGCTCCCACCTTACAGTCGGCCACCCCTCATGAGTCAGGCTGCCACCAACACAGTCATAGTGACTAATATTGAGACTGCAAGTTCCTGGATTAAAGATTCCCAGACCCAGCAGTGGAGGCTGGGAGAGCCCTTAGAGTTGCGCAGGGCCATGACGGTCATCCATGGGAATGATAGTGGTCTGTCAGGAGGAGCAGCAGCTGGGATCACAGTGGGGGTCACCGCCGCCCTGGCAGCTGTCATCACTCTGGCCATCTACGGCACCCGCAAGTACAAGAAGAGGGAATACCAGGCATTAGAGGAGGAGAGGCAGAGTTTGGCTCCAGGCACTGCAGAGACTAGAGACATGCCTGACCAAGAGCAGGAGCAGAGTCCAGCCTGAATCTCTCCCAAGAAACTATTTCTCATCTCCGGCCAGAGCTTCAAGGATGACTTTCATTCTTTCTCTCTCTACTTCTGCCATCCTAACTACTGAAGTGGCAAGCGCAACAAAAAGCGAGTATAATTTTGTGACTTCCTCAGGTCTCTGGGCCAGGAAATTAACAGAGGTACATGGACAAATTTGAGGTTGGGGTTGGGGAACAGCTGTGACTTTCTAAGCAAAAGTCATCGCAGGGACTAAAGCAGGAAGGGGGGTGTCTTTTCTCTGTGTGTGTCATGAATTATCTTCATCTGAATCTATATGTGTAAAAAGAGAGGTGGGAGAATGTTGACATTGGATTCCGACACTACGGATTTAGTCTGAGGTCGGCCGTGGTTTTCAATTCATGAGCTGCAAGAATTTCTGCCTTTATATGCTACCTTTCCACTGTTTCGTTTTTTAAAAAGCTGTCTGACTTTCATGTTCATGGAGGCTGACTGGATGCCCAGAAGACACAGGAAGTCCTGCTTGGCCACTGCTTTTCAGCTTTGAGGGTTCCGTATTAACGGATTGTGGCCTCTCCTCTGGGTCATCTCAACATCATCTGAACAGAAAGATGTTGCTTGTACCAAGCCCACTTTTTCCAACTTCCCCATGGTCAGGACTGACTTAGAGCAGGCCTCTCTTGGACTTCAGGCTAGTGTCATAAAGTTCTCAGAAAATATTTTAACTTATAAATTTTCATTAGGAGGTCAATGGGGTGGGAATTGTTTAGAGACAGAGTGAATGAAGAAAGGGTAAAACCTGGAAAAGATTCTGGTGCTAAGCGGAAATTGGAATTCTTACCCACAACCAACTACCTGGTTTCTTCCTCTTAACTCATCATAATTGGGGCAAAGAAAGGAGCCATAGATTTGGATAGATCAAGCATTACAGTTTCCTGTCTGTGTTAGCAAAGTACAACCCCTTTCTAGTCCATGAGTGGCCCTTACTCTTCCTGTCCTCCCATCACATGCACACAACCCCCTCAAACACATACACACACACACAAACACATACACACACACACACACACCCCTCCCACATTCTAATGGGAAGTCTGCAATTTCCTGGGGGTGGGAGACAAGGAAAAATGCAAGAAGTCAAAGTAAGCCCACCCCTAACTATCACTTCTTCCTTAAAAGTAAAACAGAGTAGAAAGCACCAATTATGTACCCCACCTTTACTTTTCCCACCAGAATGGGGGCTGACTTGATCAGATCCATGTTTTTATACGAAATGAAAAAGGCATCCAACACCATTTGTGACACATTTATTTCAGTTCCAGTGTGACTTCCCGGGGGCACCTGGTGGGATGCATGATTGTCACCTAACATTTGGGGCTTTGCCCAATTTTAATACTGATCTCACCTAACCGTAATTATTGGGGTGAATCTACTAATGTCCCTCCACAACATTTCGTAACCAATCAAATGTCATAAGCGAGTTATCTTCTATGAAGGATAATTTGTCCTCTCCTGGTTAACATTCACAATCAAGAGTTTAGGCTTACAATAGGTCCTCCTGAGAAGCTTGAAGCATCCCGGCCTGTGGGAAGATGGGAGGATATGCATCCATCTCCCACCGCGGTATGGAGAAGAGAAGTGAATCACAGAATTTGAGCCCTGCTCTCCCAGCTATTCAGCCAGTGACACTGATGTCTACAACCTCTTCACTTAACCCTGCCTCTGAAGCATTAAAATGTTCCCCTAAACCTCTGGGTGTTTTGTGGGTAGGTTTCAGCAAAGCTAACCACTTTTCTGCAAATACTAACTTTCCCATGAATTCTTTGAAGATTACTGAGTCAGAGAGATGGAGTATAGTCTATAGGCTCCTACACTTTTCATGCAGTAACTGCCCATTGCAATAAAAAGCTCTTCACAAACTTGTATTTCTGATACCAAAATTTCACATAAATATGCATTAAAATATGTATTTAAGGAACACTCTGTCTGACTGTTCATCCAGAGGAAATCAGAACGTGAGAGTTTCCAGTTTACACTCAAGTCGTTTGACAAAGTTAGGACCCTGATGGGGGCCGGGGGAGGGGTTCATGGGCTCCACTTTCCTGACTGGTGAACGCAGGTTGAGGTCTGTGGAAAGATTAATCCTGGCTGCCAAGGAAACCACTCTGTGGACTATGAGATATAGAGACACATCTGGGTGACAAAGGCAGCTTTGCACTTGCGTTTTATTTTTGTGTTCTCGTTAGTATCAGGATTAATGCTAAACACTTATTTGAAAAACAACAGCCTGTAAACTATTGACACATACACTATATTGTGGTCAGGTAAAGAGAACTTTAGGAAGCTAACATTCGCGGTTTTTAAGAGGGTCTTTCCCCCAAAGGTTCACTTACTTATTTCCCTGCCATGTGGTCCGCTGCTTCAGAGGAACAAGAAGTCAAGCCAGGTCCCTTGGCCAAATGTGTGGTTAGAAAAGATGTAGGAAAAAAAAAAAAATAGAGCAAAGGGACTTTCCCCTCCCTCCAACGGAAGGTTTTGTGGTTCCTTAGAGACTCAGGGAGGTATCCCAAATGCCTCACAGATAGGTGCCCTGATCTATAGAAAGCAGGTTAAACAACAATTTATGGTTGTTCATTTGCCATTTATTGTTCTGCACATACACCTCATGAGCACCAGGTGGCGATGTCCTCTCACAGAGCAACACCAAGGACTTCAAAACACACCAGTTACAGACAACAGGACATTCACCTGCCCTTTCCCAGAAACCCCCCCCCCCCACCACTCAAATGCCAGTAACCACAGACAAGGAAAGGGGACAGGCCCTTTCTTGTACCTCACGAGGACTTCCCCTAACATCTCATGCGCACAACAGTGCAATACCAGGACGAGTACTTTTGATCAAGTATGAAACGACAGAGAAGTCCAAGTTTTACAAAAGGGGGAAGGAGGGAGATGAAAACACAAAGGCACACACGACCACATATACACAATTTACCTTTAAAGGATGAGCATCTGTCAGGGTTTGGAGACATTCAATCCCATCTGTTGTCCCTGGAGACTCAGGAAGGGAGAAACTAGGCTGCTGGTGCTAAGACGATGAAAGGAAGGGCATGGAATTCCCTGTATAGGCCAAAGAACACAGCAGGGCTTCTGGTGGGAAAACATCCTGTGTCAAATTGTTAGATGCACAGGGCCTCTGCTGGCAGGGTTCTCGCTGAACCCAAGACTGTGCCTTTCCAGGTTGGCACAAGAGAAAGGGAAGACGAAGGCCCCCTGTCTTGCCTGGCACAGTGTTAGAAAGGAAATTCAAGATCCCTTCTGCCCAGAAAGTCCCACAAGAAGAGCATCCTCAGAGAGGAAGAGAAACAGGGCACAGCGACAGTCAACATCCTAGAGGGAAAGACTTGAAGGTATGAAGACTTACTATCAAAGTGGTATTGCCCCTGTCAGGCTGCCTGCCTTACACGCAGTCTGGGTCTCTTCTTTCTGCTCTTGGCCATCCACTTCCCCATATATACCTTTCTTCTGCCTGGTGCAAGGAAATCAGTCTCTCCCCACTGCCCACTGCCAGTTGTCAAAGCATGTCTTCTTTTCTTCCCCATCTCCTACTGCACAGTTGTGTGTTTCTACTCACTGATCCTCAGTCTATTTCCTCATCCCTGTGGGTGAGAATCTCAGCAGATACTTGACCAGGGCACTGAAGGTGGAGATGGTATTAGGCCTACAATGAGGCTCTCCAATCTTCTCTGGTACATGGTAGCCTAGCAAAGGGCACGGGGCATGACATTAAACACTGCAGGTATGTCTCTTCCTTGAGTTCAGATGTTTCCTTCCCAACTGAGGCAGGAATCTGCCCCATGGTGCAGTGAACTCAGGACCAATCTTCTGGTCTGCTGGTGAGATAAAATGGCTGCCGACTGATGGGGAAGACTAGAACTAAGATGGCAGGGACAATTCCTCCTATCAGAGCTCCCTCTGCTGGAGCCAGTTAAGATCCCTACAGCCATTTGAAAAATGAGGAAAGGCTCAGCACCAGTGTGTCCTGAGAAACTGGGTGACACTCAAGTGAACCCACTGGCCACACTAACGTCAAAACTGCTGCAGGCTTAACACCAAGCAGCTCTGGAGCTAGCTCTCAGGAAAGCTTGGCTTTCAGTTCTAACTTAAGTACCATTTTTGAAGGTTCTTTTGTTTCAATTTTTCTAGCATCAAAAACCTTCCTAATATTATGAAATATATATGCATATATATATACGTCAAACCCCCAAAATATGAGGTATATAAATTCAAATTAGTATCCAGAGGAACTTCCCCCAAACACATAGTTCAAAGAACCCACTTTCAAAGGGGGAATTGAGTTTCCCTTCTTGATCCCCCTTCTCTCCTCCCTGACCCCCAGTACTTTCCTTAATGGGAGCCAAAGGCAAGAGGACTGTTGGGGAGAAGATAGAAAGGGTCTTGGAACACAACCCTGACGTAGGTTGGACTGGACCATAATATGGTCTTACCCTATTAGGAATGAGCTAAAGAGGCTCCCTCCATGCTCTAGATCAATCTGTAATAGATGAGGGAGATATGGGACCCAGCACCACCTCTGGGCTCTGACTAGCAAATTTGCATGGAGACAGATTGAAGCTTTCATAGAAATAAGACTGGATGGAGATCCAACCTTGAAAGAGATATAGAAAGGGCCTCATCTTACACATCTCCCAAAGCACAGTTCTATCTCTGTCAGGGTCCAAATTTACTATGGTAAATGGTGAGGGAAGTCAGGGGACCACAGCCTGGCTGTTTGGTCCCCATCAGAACTGGGGTTTAACATCTTGCAAAACAGTGTGGGAACATGATGGGACTCTCCACCAACCCAGTCCTGTTGTGCGCACGCACACCGCACACACACACATATATATGCACATACACAGATGGCACAGAGCCCAGAATGAGCTCTACTCACAGTGACTTGATGAAACTCATGGAATCTTTGAGCTGGTCTGGGATGAGTTGGGAAGAAGGCTA